TATACATATTCCTACTCATCTTCAGAAACCAAATGAGGTAAATAAATATTTTTCTACAGTGTTTAGCCCTAGAGATAATTGCCAAAATAATACAAAATGGTACAGTTGCAATAGGTTTGGTGATGATATGCTATTCAAATTTTCATTGGTAACGATAGAACAGATTAGTAACCTAATCAATCAACTTAAGTCAAACGCCTATGGCAGTGATAATATAAATGCTGTTATGTTGCAATTATGTTTACCAACCATATCCAAACATGTGACACATATAATAAATTGTTGCCTGGAAACTGGCTATTTTCCTGATATTTGGAAATTATCTATCATCAGACCTCTTGCGAAAAAGAATGATCCAGAAAATTTTTCTGATTTACGACCAATTACTATAATTCCCACTTTATCGAAGGTATTGGAAAAAGTTATCCAATCTCAATTATATAATTATGTAATTGTAAACAAAATTATTCCTTCTTGTCAGTCTGGTTTCCGCAAGAATCACAGTACTACGGCAATTTTAGCAAATATTTTAGATAATGCATTACGATCTTTAGACAATAAAGATGTTACAGCATTAATTTTGCTTGATTTTTCCAAAGCATTCGATACTCTCGATCATTCCCTTTTATGTGCTAAACTGCGTTACTATGGCTTTGATGAAAGTTCTTTAAATTTCTTTAACACTTACTTGTCTAACCGTCGACAGACAGTTTTATTTAATACTGTATTTTCAGATATCACTCCTATAACTTCTGGTGTTCCCCAGGGATCGGTTTTAGGACCGGTACTATTTTTGATATATACTGCAGATATTTTTCATTCTATCAGATATAGTGAAATGCAGTGTTATGCTGACGACACTCAATTATCTTACTCTTTTAAACCAGAAAATATAAGATCTGCTTGTGATCACATAAACACCGATTTAAATAATCTATCAAAATACTCTCAAAATAATAACTTAAAATTAAACTTCGATAAATGTACGGTCATCTGCTTCTGTTCTAAAATTATTGTGGAGAATATCTTTGAAAATTTAAAAATACATATAAATAATCACATTTTAGAGGTATCATATGTAGTAAAAAATTTAGGTTTTATTTTGGATACATCTTTGCGTTTTAAAGAACACGTTTCAAAGTTAATAAGGAAATGTTATGTCACCATAAAGACTTTATATATGAACATTCATATCATGAATTTCAAAGTTCGAAAAAAACTTATTGAAGCATACGTACTTCCATTATTGAATTGTGGGAATATTGTTTACTTTGCCTTTTTAGATAGTCAAACAAAAAATCGTCTACAAAAAATTCAAAATTTTTGTTGCCGTTTTGTATACCGCTTAAGGAAATATGATCACGTTTCGAATAAAATAAGGGAACTCGGTTGGCTAAAGTTAGATAATCTTTTTAAATATCATATGTCTGTTTTTGTTCACAAAATTATAAATACGTCTGAACCCCTATACCTCCGACAAAAATTAATTTTTAGACAAAATCTCCACTCTGTTAATGTACGGTCTGCTGGTTTGCTTTCATTACCGAGATATCGGACATCCATGTTTCGTAGGTCGTTTTCTTATAACGCTGTCACAATCTACAACAGTTTAGACAATAAATTTAAAAACCTAACACTTCTTCAATTTAAAAAAATGTGTAAACTGCATTTTCTCAAAATGCAGTAACTTGCTTGCCTTTGTTGTGATAATTGTTTTTTGTGTGTCTGGTTTTATAGTATGACTAACCATTTTATCTTTTATATCCATTTTTTTCTAAATTTTGTTTTTGTCAATTAATTTTAATTTTAATATTGTAATTTTAATAATTATGCTCCTGTAATGTTTTATTTTATTTTTATACTCCTTTTTTGTACGCATTGTTTAATATCAATTAGATTTTTTTTATAAGGTTAAGTAGAGTAGCCATTGGCTAGACTTCGCCTTATGTACGTGAAATTGTATTTTGCCTTGTACAATTTTCAAAAATAAAGACATTATTATTATTATTATTATTATTA